AAAAAAGTTGTCATTGGGGGCCAGGGAGATGGCTCAGTGGAATAATCACTTCCCTGGCAAGTACAAGGGCCTGAGTTCAATCCCCGGTTCTACCAAAAAAGAAAAAAAAAAAAACCACACGTCCCTGTCACCACCAGAAACACTCCCAAAAGGGGCAACTCATTTCTCTTCCCATCGACTCATTCCAGTCAAACTTCTCACCACCATACCAGTGACCCTCCCCTCCAGCTGGCCAGTTACAAACCCAGTCATCCCCATTTCTTCTGGTCACTGGACAGCACTGAACATCTCCTTCCTTACATGCATCCTCCGCCATGCGCCTCGCCACTCTCCTTCACTCGTCAATCTCCTCATCTCTGAGCCTTTCTTTCATTTCACTGTGATGTCTCAGAACTCAATCCCATGGTCACTTTCCATTCTCATTTTTACAACAGTCAACTCATCTATCCTGTGGCTTGAAATGTCATTTCTAACTCCAAAGTTACACCCACAGTACTATGTCTCCCTGGAAACTTGCCACTTATGGAACTATACTTCTTGGTTCACAGAAGACTCATTCCCTTGCTCCGCTCACTTAGATCGGTTCTCAACACCATACCCACTGGGTGTGGTGGCAAATGCCTGTAATCCCACAAGTCAGGAGGCTGAGGCAGATGGATCTCACGCTACAAAGTGACTTCAAGCAGGTATGAACTGAATAGCAAAAACTTGCCTCAAAAAAAAAATCATTGGGGATGGGGAGATAGCTCAGAGGAATAAGTGCTTGCCTGGCACTTATTCTGAGTTTTGATACTTGCTACCACACACACACAACTCACCATACCCATAAAATTGTACCTTCATTCCTCCACCTACGACTTCTGACTCAGCTTTATTTTTCTACCAATCTGACATCTACTGAAAGTAAACTAGGAGAAAAACTTCCAAATATTTCAGTTTCCTCCCCCAACCCAAATCTTTATTCGGTCTCTGTGTGAGGCAGGATTTCACAAGGTCACACAGATCTCTGATGTACAGAGATCCTTCTGTCTCAGCCTCCCCCAAAAGCTAAGATCACAGATATTCACTATCACTCTTGGCTTTCCTTATTTATATCCAAAATCCAGAGGATTACTCATACTACATATTTGCACAATCAAATGTCATTCTTGTGCAAACATTTCCCTAACTTGACCACTCACCTTCCCTGCTGCTACTCAAATCCTACCCTCAATGACCTGCCCAATCCTTTACTCAGGAAGCAGCCAAATTTTAACTTCTAAGTCTCTCACACTCAGACATGAACTAGAAAGCTTCTAAGGGAAGATGTTGGGGGGCAGGCAGGCTCAGCCTGTGTTAAAGACAACCACATGCAGTTAGGGTGTGAGAACATGAACCTATGCTCAAGAGACTTTAAAAACCCAGCTTCTTTTGTGAGTGACAGCCCATAAAGGCACTAGACCTTTCAATCTGTACAGGCAAACACATTCTTTTAGAAGACATGGCCAAAGACCACCATGCTCTCAGATATACAGTACCTACGCTAAGTACTAAACCTGCTTATCTCAGGCAAGCACAACTTTCCTAAAAGGCCCTTCAAGTAATCCTGCATCACAATCTCACTGAAATTTCCCTGCCCACTTTCTAGAACCATCAAGCGCTGTCCCCAAAGAAACCCACTGTCTCGTGGGTCGAGTCCCCATGTATTAGGTCTGGCCATTGCTGTTAGCAAAACTGTAAGGAGCAGCTGCTGAAGAGTAGAAGGAAAAAAACAAGAAGCAATGTAGAAAGAACATTCACGGAGGATGGGATAGAAGTGCAGCAAAGAACAGCCTGAACAGAATATTCAGGGGGAGCACTTTAAGGAGGCCCAAGGATAGCAGTGAGGAGAACACTGCAGTGACTACTGAGGTGGGGGAGACAATATATTCTTTTACCAACTGCAAAGCTGGTATAAGGCTTAGTAATAACAAGTTTTCCAAGAGCTGTAATTATTTTGCAGTGAAAAAATAAGCAGCCAACAGGTCTACTTTAAGGTCAGCAATATCTCACCCTTTAGATTCAATTTTACAGTCATCACCTTTTCATGCGAGTATTAAATGCTCCCATTTTCAAGAGGCACAAATTAATCTCTGGAAGCCTTGGTTCTCTCAGAACCTCAAGAGACCAGAAGTAGCAGACAGGATACAAAGCCAGCTCTGTGTGATGCCAAGCTCTCACCCAAGCCACTGATCCACATTCCTTTAGTCCTCTGCAAGCTGGGAACCCTGTCCACCAGGCTGACTCCTGCGGCTGCACTCGCCCAAGTCCTAGAATGTCTACTCTGGAAAAGCCCACTGAAGGCCTGGCCTGGGCTTCTCTTTGGTTTCTGGCAGCTGGTGGAGGAAGAAGAGGAGGAGCAGGAGGAGAAGTAGAGAAGGCAGGAGGGCGGAGAGTGAGGGCCGCTCAAAAGAAGTCCAGGCGCAAGGTTACCTGCGATCTGCTGGGCTGGGGAAAGACCCGAGGGTGGCGGTCAAAGGTCTGTCCCACGTGGTACGGCGGGAAGCGCCGCTGCCGGAACTGAGGGTAAAACTGGGGTTGGCGCAGCTGCCTCCGGGCCCCCGGGAACTGCCCGTCAGCCGCGGGGGGCTCAAATCCTTCACTGCTGCCGCTCCCTTCCTCCTCCTCCTCCCCAGCGTACTAGCGAAGCAAAGAAACAAGAGATTCAGAAGTCCAGCAAGGGAAGACACCCAGCAAAGAGCACCATTTGATTGGATGAGCATCACCCAAAGAAAAATCAACGCCCAAGGCAAAGATGCCCTTTGGCAAAGGGACAATATGCATTTAACCCAGGTCCTCGTGTGATTCCCTGAGATAAAAAACACTGATTATAGTAGACCTATGCCAATCAAACACCAAGCAGCAGAAAAGCAAAAGCAGCCTGTGCCAGATATGTCATCTCAGTCCAACTGGTGCGTCTCACTGGAGCAACCCTTGAGGGGCATCTATGTGACACATTTAACACGCTAATACCGAGCGCCTCCCGGGTTGGAGCTCCTCACAAAGCCCTTCTCTCAAGGGAGACTGGGGGGAGTGCCCAGAAAAAAATGTTATATAATGTTATCAGCATCTGAGACCTAGGCTTCTATGGCAGTACTCAAAACGTGGACTGGGTCTCAGAGCACTGTATTCTCACCATGCTTCTGAGGTACGCTCGCCTGTGGTACCTTCTCTGGGTCTTCTCTGGGTCTAGCAGCAGACTAAAACACCTGCGGGGCTGAGGGGCCAACAACCATCTTCTACTACTTCACCAGACAGGGAGCAATACCACTTACCCAGTGTGAACAGGATTGTTTGTGTAAATTTTACATTGACATGAGTTATTTTAAATCAATTAGCTATATTTTACATTTCTTTTACTTACTAGGAAAACACAGTCTAGGAGCCTCAAGCTAAGCATAAAAATGGATCAAAAGCCCAAGAAGTTTGAGAACCAATGACCTACATGGCATGACTCACCGTAACATTTTCATTGTACTTCCTAATGCAATTAACAAAAGGTTAGGAGTAATTCCTACACATAGACCTCATTAACAAAGGGAATTAACAAATCATTTCACATTGTTTCAAATATTTAAAGTACTATATCATGTGTGACCATCTTTTACTTTAACAAATTAAAACAAGCAAACATTTGTCAAAGAATCTGTGTTTTCAAATTTTACTTCATGAGGAATGTAGACATCAGAAGGAATCATTATGGTCAGGGCCAGCCTGATCTACCTAGTAAAACTCACAAAGACAAAAACGCACTGTTTACTATAGAGTTTTCTGTTTATATCTCTGAACTGAACTCATAGGCTAATCACAGCTCAAGCTCTATAAAGTGAATGAACTTAAGAATTACTAGTGGGAAGTTGGTGAGAAAGTCGCCATGGTTAGATCCCTTGCACCACGTGCCATGCAGCCCGGCCCCCTGGGTGGGCTGAGGGGGGCAGACAAAAAAGGATTAGTAGCCATCTGCTACAACAGCCCATCTCTATTCCCACCCTTCAAAGTTTATTATTAAACATCTAAAAAGTAAAGTAAGGAACAGAAAAATGATGAGATGTCCTAAGGAATGGTAAAATCAATTTGGGGCCAAACCATTTACCTAAGCAGAAAAATACAAATCTACAACAGCATGGAGATAAATCATTATCAATCCAGATACTTTAAGATTTTTCAAATGTTTCTTCCCTTGACAATATGTGGCCACCATCCCAATGGCTTTTTGATGTAGTTTTTGTTCAAGTGGAGATTGAATGAGCCCAGGACATCAGGGAGCTACTGCTGTTTCTGTTAAAACTGGAGGCTGAGTTATCTCCAGCCTTTTCATTTTTTATTCTGAGCCAGGGTCTCATTAAATTCCCCAGGCTGAGCTAGAATCTGTAGTCATCCTGCCTCAGCCTCCCAAGTTCTAGGATTACAGGCATGTGCTACAATGCCCAGCTGGTAGCCACCGGGTAACCCTAGACTCACAAAAGATCAAGTTTTAGTCCATGCTGCAATCTCTGATCCTAACTCTATAAACACATGAAAAAGCTAGATAATTTTATCTTTTTATTAATAATTCAATTAACATGCTGGGGAGACAGCTCAGTAGAATAAGCACTTCCCTGTCAAGTGCAAGGGCCTGAGTTCAATCCCCGGTTCCACCAAAAAAAATAATAATAATAATAATAATGATAATTCAACTAAAATGGTCCTCACAAGCACACAGAGCTCACTGTACCTGCCTCAGAAACAGTCCTTCAAGGTGAGCCGCTTAAGCAAAAGCTCTAGCTAGACAGGGTTTATAAATTTCTCCATCTGGATTGGGACCAATCTACAGAACTAAAGACATGAGAATTACTGCTTCTTTACTTAGAAATAAGAAAATACTATGCTAAATAAAAAGCTTTTATTGATGCCAATTGTTTAATCCTCCTGGGTCTAACCCTATCACAATTCTCAGCCCTGGTTCTTTCTCACCAACCACTATTTCAATTGTATCGGTGCCAAGGGAGAGAAAAACAGGCTTACTCCAGTGTACAAGGGAGTGCCACACGCTAGGTTCTGACCAGATGAAAGAGCCAAGCAAAGGCTAAGAGTTTTACCAACCTTGGCACTACCGACCTTAATTAAGTCACCTTGTTACAAGATAAATGACAGGAACCTGCAGCCAGTGCCTCCTAACTCAGACAGCTTTTGGCTCGCAAGTTTGCAAGGAGACCAATAGCTATGGATAATGTGAGCATTAAAAATTTTTCCTTTAAAGAAAAAAAGCAATAATCAGAAAAAAAAAGTTAACTGTCTTGTCTCTGGAAAACAAGGAAAATATCTGCTCCAGATACATACACTTCATTTTAGACATAAAACTCTCTGCCACTGGTTAAGAACAGAGAGGACATACGTTTCGGGGAGGCCCACGGCGCCGGCCGTAGTAGCCACGCCGGTAACGGCGGCGGTCAGCAGCATAGCGGCTCCCTTCCACCGGGACTCCATCAG